GGGGGGGGGGGAGGGGAGGCAGCAAGAGCTAAAGTTAGCCCAGAGTTGGGTCAGGTATGAGATTAGTGCAACCCTGGGGCTGGAACGAGCAGCTAGGCTTTCCCAACCCTGTGCCTGTGCTGTGAATGTGTACAGGCATTCATGAAGTCAGGTTAACCCTTTCCTAGATCAGGTTAACTGATCTTCATCTACATTAGTGCACTTACTCATGTGAACCAGGTTAGATCAGACACACCATTTTTTGCTTGATTTAGCTCCTCTGAACACCTGCACAATTGGACATTTAGATTGACCTAACCCTGGTTAGGTCAATCCAAATGTAACTATTGTACATACCCTAAGGTATTTGTTAGTAAAAGGAACACAAAGGCAATTACTTCTGAAATTGTCCTACACCTACTGATTCAAGCATGAAATCAGGGAGCAAGACATGAGGAAAAGGAAACTGTTGTCCAATAAATTTCTGACCACTATTGAGCCTGCTTGTATCTCTGCAGATAGTGGACATAAAGTAAAATAAATGAGAAGCTAGTTAAGAAGACATGTGATTTACAACTTTGCTTGGTCCTTAAGGTCACACTCATTTAAAGAGTAATTGTTCATCCTGGCACTTGCTGCCACTGGACCAGTTGACATTCATTCTAATATCTAGTCAGTAATGATTGAGATATATGTACCACCCCCCAGTAATCGACAACCTAGGTACAAGAACTCTAATGCATCTTTCAATTTGCTTCCTTATTTTTAGACTGGCAAATGTATTCTCAAAGGAAAGTCACCTTCACATGCACACAGGCATATCAGCGCGCACACACACACATATAGCAAAAGCCCATTACTGCAATCAGTTTAATTTTTATTAGTGCTTTTCTATTTTCTAAGATGTCAGATGGGATTGCTGCAAAGGTAAAAAGTAGCTTTATGATGCCTTTTCCAATCAACATCACAGTATTTATTCCAAGATACCAATTAACTTCCTGCCTAATTTGTCACACTTAATTTGAAATCAAGCATGCAATGATGTTTAGAACTATAGTCATGGTATTTGTGTTTGGCTGAGGTAGTGGCTACTAGCAGTCTCAATTTATCACTTCTAATTTAAAACTCCCATGCCAATGATTTTAGTTCTTAAAAGCTATGACTGGCACTTATGGATTTCAAAACCAAAGTGAAAATAAACTACAGTTAAGAATTCAGCAGCTCAGATCAATGAAAAGCTGGTTTATAACTGAATATACTGGGTTTAAATCCAGTGGTTTAACAGAAAAAAATAATAATCCAAATTTTTCTTTTCCCCTTTAAATGCTCTTGTGTAAGCTTTCATTACAGAATTAAGCCACTCCAGGGTTTGCATGGGAAGCTACTGGTATATGCTCCAGGTATTTTGAAAGGTAAGAAACCAATGCCAGACTCTATTCAACCAGTAGAAAAATGCAGTCCTTAGGATGGTCTTGTTGTTCTTAGGCATTGTTACCATGTATTATTCCACTACAGAAATTATTTTTTAGTTAAAATATAAGACAAATTAGTAAAGAAAGACTGTAAAGACTTTCCTGCACTATTGGAGGTGCAGATATGTTGCCCAGGGTAGCTGGGCCTATTATTCTAGAATTATTAGCCAATTTCAACTCTCTTCCTTGAATACAAATTAAACTTGGACCAGAAAATGGCTTCCAATTCAATGAAAACTTTAATATGTCTTTTTAAAAATGACTGAAAGGACCATGTGCAGACACACGACATCTAGTACTGGGCTATCTTCTATTTCGGTCTTTTACTCCAAATTACCCTTCCCCATCTTTCTGTCTTCATACCCATCCATGCAGGAGCTCTACATTCTTTGACAGAAAATGACAGTTTGGAAAATTAAAAATATTTTTAATTATTAATAATATCTAGGCCCTGAAGCTTATTACATACCTTTGTGTATGAAAAGTCATATGGGATATGAGAGCAATTCTCTCTCCTGGCAATTCAGTACATTCATTTGAAATGTTATAGTCACTCTATGCACTTCTATTTTAATTGATTACTTTCTCTAACATTCCTAAACAAGGGAGTGGTCAAAAGTAGCATGAAGAACTCTATAATTTAATTTCCCAAATGGGTTGCTCTCTCTGTGAAAACCTAAAGTGGGAAACAAATCCAACAACCTGTCTGTATTGATTTGAAAATGTACCTTTCCTTGTAAACAAAATATGCTAGTTGATAAGTGAAAATGTAAGGACCTCTAGAGTGTTCTCCATTTCTGCTTCTGATATACTTTCTTCTTCAGTTAATACAGTGACAGCGAGTAGTAAAATGGGTATGAGCTATATACCAAAATAACAGGTCAATGTGATACTGACTATAATCATCATAGAA